AGGGTACTGAAATAGAACGTCACTAAAAAATTCTGTATGATTAATTTAGATCATGTCCATTTTCAACATAAAACAGTCATTTATTTTGTACAAACATTTGGCAATATTTACACGATTGTGCCTTTTTGTAAAAACGCGTTGCGTGTATTCCACTCAATTGCGTGACTATTTTGCTCGCGCATGCTCAGACAAATTTCCCACCTGTTAAATAAGACATGTTTTCGTCGCGTATATCATTACCTCTACGCAGTCTAGAACAATGAGATCACTGTAATTGATGACTAATTTGAATTTCAAAGACTAGCCTTTTTTTTAATACACACTGTATAACCAATATACTTTAATTAAATTCGACTTTAATCACCTAATCCGCTTTCTAATCGCTCAGTTTCTTTTTATATTCAAAAACGCATACAATGGGAATAGGTGCAGTGGTCCAAAAGTGAGACTGACCAATCCGGACCATGCAATCAAGACGGTTCAATCGTTTTCTTCGATATTTGTTTCTTCGGTCGCTGGCCTCAACGTTGCGTGTTACTGTACTGTATACGCATTCTCTTCCAGCATAGATTTCCTTTCCATTTCGTCGGTTTGTTTGCATGTTTGTCGGCTAACTTGATCGAGCGTGCATAGGTAATTAAATCCTAATTGTCTCAGTGCAGCCTCGCCGAAAATGTTCGCCGATGATACGAATATTAGTCATACGAATATTAGTCATACGACTAATACATTGTCCGAACTTGAAAATGAAATCAATTGAGAATTCAAAAACAGAAAAACTGAAATGTTGGTTATAGAAGCGAACAAATTAAGTCTCAATATTGCCAAGAAAGAATTTATGCTCATTCCAACGAAATTATCCATATTGACCTAGATGGCAATTGGCAATGGTAATTAAAGCAAGTTGACAAAGCTAAGCCTAAGTCACTGCATGGGTTTAATAATTAACAAAAGCTTCAATTTTTGTTCCAAGCATATTGATACGAGATGTAAAAAAAATTCTTCCGCTTATAGGAATACGACGTTTTATATCAATCCAAACTGCAATCTGGATATATAATGCCAATAATGCAATTAATTCAACCTCACTGTGATTACTGTAGCCCTGTCTTTGAGATGAATTTAATATAACATTATGTGGAATAATGCAAAAATTACAAAATAGGGCTGCCAGAGTGATTACGAAGTCCAGTTACGACGTTATGCATGAAGTTCTGCATTGGGACAATCTATCATTACGTACTAAGAAGTACAAGTGCTGAAATGAAGTTGAATTTACCGAAACCGCGCGTACGGACTATTTGAAGCGTAGTTTTCGCCACAGTAAGGCATGACGGTTGTAGAATATGCTGCCTCATTCTGCACGTACAGCTAGTTCATTAAGGCATTTCAGAAATAAAATCAACTCAGATCGATTTTTGTCGTCACCATATAGTGGGATTCTCACACGGCAATTACTTATATATATAGTATTTAGTGTTAGAATTAGTTTAGTGTAGATGTAAGGTTTATTCAAAATAAATAGCACCTATACAGTATACACTGAAGATTTTACCGTGCTTAAATAAATGTTTAATGTTCAGTGTTCAGTGTTCAAGTGCACCTAACCTCAGTTCTTTTTATCATCTCATTCTTCTGAAATGATATAATAACTTATTTTGAAGATTTTCGTTTGCTCACTTTGTTGTTTGAGATATTTCAGTTTGTTTGGTATGCAAATATCCGGAATTTATGTCCCAAGTCTCCTAAATGCATAATGATTTAAACTAAAAGCTTGTATATATATCGTGTTCACTACCGTGTTTAATTCATTGAAATGAAGTTTGGAGTTGTGGGAGAATTACATATACCTATATGTAAAACACCATTTGGCATTTAGCCTTTTATTTCATGATATCTAACTATAGGCTGCCTTATACATTCTTTGATCAGTCGCTATTCACATGTGACGTGTAAATTCCGGACATTTGCATCAAAATAAAACTGAAAAGCTCAGAGACAAAGTGTGCAAACGAAAAACTTTAAAATAAGTTATTATATCATTTCAGAAATTCTTAAGAATGAGATTATAAAAATAATTGAGGTTAGGTGCATTTTCAATGTTCGTCAATCAATGTTCAATGTCCAAAGAGCCCGGGAAGGAGGTTGTATTAATTAGCGCGGGAAATGTTGTCGGTAAATGTGATACTATACACCGTCGATTTGCTTTAAGGCGGTTTTCCAGTCCTCGCACTAAGCTCCTCGCAGCTCGCTGCGAGTGCTTGCATCTAATTAAAATTAACGGTTTAGCATTGTGATTGGATGAAAGTGCTCATGCATCACTCGCTGCGGGCTGCGAGGAGCTTCGTGCGAGGACTGGAACTGAATCCGCTTCGTGACGGCCCTACTGATAGTGTATAAAACCGGAAAAAACCTTCAAGGGTTTCACTTTCACCTACACGTTGGTCGCTATGCATGCATCCACTGATATAGATATACAGCAAGTTTTAGATCAACTAGCCTTACTCACAAGGCCAAAATCCGCGATTTTGGGGGAACTGTGAGATTCTAGACAATTCAAACAACGCGAAAAGCGACATTTAAAAGTTGTAACTCTAAATTGATACCATGCATTACAAACAACTATAATACTAAAAAGTTGAATTTCGTGTTGCGGAGACTCAAACGTTGGCGAGGCAGTACTCCAAAATGGCGGAAAAATCGGCCGTGAGAAAGGCTATAATTGCATGTAGTATCCGTATACAGGGGGCGTCATTTGAGGGAGGATAACATCGGTAAATTATTGAGTCCCAGTCAAGAAATTGTTTTGGACAGGATAGGAAGAAAACGCCAACATTTTGCGAAAAGAAATATTAATTAGTGGTCGACCAGCACAAGTTAGCGCCGTCTGGAACTGCCTCTTTTTTCATTGAATTTGGTTTTAATTAATATTTACTGAAGACAGCATCAATTGATGAAATGCAGTTCAAAAATATAAGCACTAATTAATCATTTGGCTTCGCACATTGTCATTGAGTTCGATCGTAACCCAAAAATGTGGTTGTACAATAGGCACAGACAAACGAGTAAACACTATTAACACGTACATGTACCCATGCATGAAACATCATTGGAATTTTATGAAATATTGAATTATTGTATAGTCTTCAAAAACACACACAGACAAATGAGTAAACACTAACACCCACCGCAACTACCCAAACATGACACATACACCATTGGAACAATCTTGAAAATTACAATTGCCGGGAGAGTGCATTTCCAGCTATTTCCCAAAATAATTTTGATTAAAGTAACCATGTGTATATTGCCTGCTGATAGGCAGATATATTTCTCTAAAACACATGATTATCGTATAGTAAAAGACAATCACACAAATATGCAAAAATGAGCTCGAGCATTATTCTGCACGTATATAGGCACGCTTTGAAAACTGCGACACTGTAGAAGCCCGAGCACAGCTGTGTAGAAATACTTTCAAAACTAATATGTTTTACCTTTAAAAACTTAAGCCAATGGCAGTGACACGCAAAAAAGGAGAAATATACTTCAACCTTGCATGCAATGATAGCCAACTGAGCATGCAACTATTAGTATTTATTATATATTGTACTACTTGTATTAATTTCCCAGACAGGCACGAATAAAGAGCATGCATATGCGTTCAGTATCATGAAAATATTTCGGGCTTGGGGGGGGGTTAAAGCCTCACACATTTTTGATTCACGAATACCGACCTGGAGCAGCGGGGAGCAAATCAAACCGTTATAGATGGCCATGCATGCGGCCGCTTTTTGTTTGAAATCACGAGAACTCGAAACTGCATACATCTACTGCAGCATGAACTGCTGGCGCCATAATTAGCTATAACAGTGCTCTGATTTCAGCTTATTTGCTTATTACAGCGGACCATGGAATTCATCAACCTTTTGGATAGGAATTAAGTTGGGTTAAAGCTTAATAAAAGTCACTCATGGATTCATATATGGGGCAGTCGCATTTTTGCACCACACCCACCCACCGCGCACTAATATCTTGCGGAAGATTTTTCTATGCGTTTTTGAATATAAAAAAAACCGGTGGGCTTTGAAAAGAGATTAGCGTCGGCATAGCCTAATCCACTGAGTAGGACAATGGGATTATGTAATTATAGCCTTTTAATTGAAATAAATCCAGGTCGCCTGCAAGTGAAGCTATAAAATCTTGTGGCAGGCGTCCTGCAAGTCAGAACTTCCAAGCTTTTACCAAGACCTTATCAAGACGAGAAACGCGGTAACAGTATATACTATTTACAGGTACGTTTATAGTGCAACATTAATAAATGTTCACGTAGTGTCGTACATGAATTAACAGGGTGTGTGTCAGAAAAGCATGATAGGACTTAGACTCTGAAGACTTTCAACGACTTTTTTCGTTTTTTTCTTACAATTCAAAGACTTTTAAAGAGATCTTAAAGACCTGCATTTAAATTTAAAGCCTTTAAGGATTTCAAATTCAAGGATTCGAAAATCGTTACGAAACCGTTAATAAATTAGTATAGTATATATTAGAGCCATCGGTCAAAAGCGAGTCGACTTCATCATTATTTTGTTTTCATGAAAATATATGTTCATATTTCATTCATATATTAGAAAAACACATTTGCTAATTCTGCTGCTTTGTTTTATAGTTTTATAGTGCTGTCTGAAAGTACCATGTCTATCTTCTGGGCATTTTTGGCATCTTTTCTGGTCAGTATGTTCTCAAAAATTGGAAGTAATTTTTGTAGGGAGAATAACACTAATTATACTAAATATTAAAAACCATTAAAACACTATGAAATTCTATGTATATATTCTAATAATTATGTTGGCTTCAATTATAAAATCGTGACAGATCGCTAACTGCGTGGCGAATGCAGAAGATATTGGGGCACAAATCTTTGAGAAAGTTAATGTGGTAAGTGATTTAATTAAACTCCCAATTTTCGTCAAAAATATATTATTTTGCTTATAGGATATTTTATCACAGTACTATGATTCAGAAAAATCTATTTATAAAAAACTTGCAACATTAAACATTAATACCAGCCAATGTTTGTTTTGTATAGGCTGTGGTATAGGCAATAGTTACCCTGGTTCCAAAGGCTCTTTGCGTGGCGAAAGAAACGAGAGGCGAGAAGGAAAAGCTTTTCAGGTCACATCGGTTGCAAATCCCACTTCTACGCTTGATTAGCTATGATAGCTATAATTGGCTTACAGTAATGTTTATTTCCCAAACCGGTTTGACATATCTTTTTTACAAATGGCCAATCATGCACATGCGAGATTCAAATTCTGAACCTAATCAAAGTGTATAAAAGTGGGATTTGCAACAGATGTGACCACAGACTCTTCCTTCTCGCCTCTCGTTACTTTCACCTCGCAAAGAGCCTCTGGAACCAGGGTAGGTAATAATATGGTTTCGAGTGCAATTTGGAAAAAAAATTCACGAGTGAGTTTTTCAAAGACTATCAAAATTGTACGAGTCCGAAGGGCGAGTGCAATTTTAAGTCTTTGAAAAACTCACGAGTGTATGTTTCTTATACTATTACTTATTAATAACATACATGAAAAAATTATGAAGTCACTCGTAAGAACTCCGAAATGTTTGGTTTTTTTTTTATCATTTCTGCTGGAATTTGCTGTATCTTATTGCCTATCTTTGTTATTGTTTCATATTTTAAACCAATCAGAAGGCCTAAATAGCCAATGAAATTTGCACTGTATTTCATTTTTTGGCGCTGCCTTTTGAAAAAAATTGCACTGCTCTTTTAACCAATCGGAATTGAGAAATTGTTTCATGTATATTATTAAATAAAAAAATAAGGAAAATATTTGCTTGCTTTAGCTGCAGTTTTTGATTAAAATTGATATCTATATTTTAAAATATATACGCAGTTGCGATGAGCGGTTCTATTATTCTATTTATTTTATCATGATTTTAAGTTTAGGCACCTAAATTTTCCTATAGTATAGACGATATGCAACGTATTTCACATGCTTTTCACATACCTCGGTAACTAGACTCCCTGCGGCTAACCCTAACTCCTGGATTTGGCCCATGACAAATTTCATTCTCCCGTAACTGGAACTGTAGTTTTGAGACTTGGATTGGCAAACCTCAAAATGATAGAAAATAGCACAAGTCGGAAGCAAGCATTTCTATTCAAACTGAACAACTCAGACGGTATATATAACATATAAAAACGAAATACAAGTCGATAAAGAGATGAAAGGTTCAACCTCTGGTTCAATGACTTACTGTAATGTATCGATCATTACTAGCTGCATGATCTTACTTATACGTATTGTTGGTATAAGTATGGTACTGTTAAACACTGTGATATAGGGACTATTTAAATTAGGTAATTTGTGATGAATAATAAAACGACTATAGATTATTAATTATTTAACATAAAAAACGAGATCCAACACCAGGGCCGTAGGAGTGTGTGGGTGGTGCAACACCCCCCGCCCCCATGATAATTGCTCATGAGCAATTTCAGGTAGATTTTTAGGTAAATTCAGATAATTTCCAGTAGATTTTTAGGTAAATTCGTCGTAAAGCCAGGTAAAAGCGTTAAGTTGGCTAAATTCAGGTAAATCTAATCTCACACGCCCCCAAAGACAAATTAGTCCTCGCAACGGCCCTGTCCAACACCGACTCCGTTATAACTCAAACCCCCGCAACTTTTCGCTTAATAAGTTCTTTGTAAGTTTGCAAGGCAATAAAACATATAATATTTTGTTCGTGGAAACACCACGAAAATTTATTACTGCAAAGCTTTCGATCCGTAAGCCCGGATTTTCATTCAGTGCTAATAATATATGATTATTATATTATTAGCACTGATGAAGATCCGGGCTTACGGATCGAAAGCTTTGCAGTAATAAATTTACGTGGTATTTCCACAAGCAAAATATTTTATTATATATCAATAGTCAAAGTCGCATTTTTCTAGTGTTTTATTGGTTGAGAGCATATCACGTGAAAGTGACGAAATTAGGCTGTCTCCCTCGCAACAGCGCGAGAGGGAGATAATATGTTGTCGACCGGCGATCGAATAACAAAAAAAATCACGTGCGCCATCACGTGAAGATGCGACCTTTGGACATGCCTAGTACGTAATTATAACTTTCGCTTTAAGTAACTGCAGTGTAGCCAGTGTTTAACATAACGTTTTAACAATACAATATTTCATGTATTTACGTTCATTTGTTCTTTAATTTGTTGTTTCTTTGACTATTGATATATAATAAAACACTTATTTACTGAGACCTCGGGAAAGCAGTGTGTTTTGTGGACCCTCGACCGTCGATGTATGGGAAACATCCACGGTCTCGGGTCCACAAAACACACTGTTTCCCTCGGTCTCAGTAAAAAAGTGATAACTTTTCGCATGCTTTGAGAGTTTGAAGTTGCCGGATTCTATTGTATATTGCTTTCCATTCAGAACGACAAAAACACGGAGATTGTCAGAGATGAAGAAGGCGACACTTTGCAGCATGGACATTACGAGGATGAAGGACGTGAGTATATGTATGCACAATATATATCGGCACATGTGTAGGAAACTTCTAAAAAAAATATTTTAAAAATATTTTTTGTTGAAAAATATTTTAGGTTGCAGTTGCCAGTTGTTACGTCCGCCAGGAGTTTAATTCAAATAGATTGTAATTAAGAGGATCTTTTGTAACACGCGCTCAAAGCTAACTGATGAATAATTGTATTTAAATTGGCAATATTATAATAACTATTATTCTGTGTTTCTCAACCGCCAGATATATTTAAAAAGGTAGCTAACTGTGTAAACTACAAACACGCGAACAATACAAACATGTGCGATCTCAGCAATGCAAGAAAATGTCCTAAAGACGCGCCTCGAAGTCGATATTTTCGCAACGATTTGTTTCGCTAACAAATTGGCGGTCGGACAAGCGTGCTGGAATTATAAAGTCTTTCATTCATTCATTCATTCGTTCGTTCGTTCATTCATTCGTTCATTCATTCGTTCGTTCATTCCAGATCAAGCATAACGAATTTTATCCTATATACAGATACTATGCACTGCCCTTGTGGTTCGCATAAAATTTTGAACGGCTGTTATACGTTTATGAAGAACAAGGTCACTTGGGACAAAGCTCGCGCAGATTGTTTGAAACGTGGTGCAGACCTGGTCATTCCTACCAGTAACACAGAATGCAACCTTCTCAGTCAGCGTGCTTATACCCTTGGAATGAGTGCTCCGTGGATTGGTGCCTTCAGGTATCTCAATTATACACGGTGTATAAGAAAGGGTTATCTAACTTTGATGGATATAGTGTAGATGAAAATTACAGAGTGGAAATTTATATACATTTATTAGACTTAACCAGGAACAGAAGCTGAAAAGTGGAACTTTAGGTCCCTGACTGCAGGAATTGAACCTGCGGCCATGCATGCGATTCCGGTGCAGCGCTCTAACCATGCAACTGAGCTACAGAGGTCAGTTTTCGAGCTCTAACGACAAGTTCATGTATAACTAAGGTACTGCCATGTATAGGTTATAATGCATGGGTATAAATATCAAGACTTTTGTTACATCTCACTCGAATGAATAGTATTGGATGGGTATTGTAGATGGACTTTTGTCAAGTGGAAATTTATATACATTTATTAGACCTAACCAGGAACAAAAGCGAAAAATACAATTTTAGGTCCCTGGCAGGAATTGAACCTGCGGCCCTGCGATTCTGGTGCACTGAGCAATCTAACTTTAACATTTTATCGTACGGTTGTATAAATCAAGCACATGCACCTACGACAACATAGCCGAGTTAGATAGATAGATAGATAGATTTTATTTTGACACGCTAACTACGTCAATTAAAAACATTGATTTCCACGAGTTGTTCTAGTTGTGTGCTTAATTTACGCACTGCAACTCCTACTGTCGCAAGCATGCGACAGTTGCAGTCAGTAGAAAAAAGGTTCTGTAGTGGAAATTAAGTGCATGCTTTTCAACCATTCGAAAATTAGTACTAATATTGTATGTCATGATAATAATGGTATAAAATCATTGATAATTTTATTTTTGCAAGAATTTTTCTTTTTTTTTGCAGACGACGACATGATGGGAAATTCTATAATACCTGTGGAAAAGCATTAAGTTTCAAACGCTGGAATGCGGGCGAGCCAAATAATTCTGGGAACAAGGAAAACTGTGCCCATATGTATTCGCATGGCGCAGGAAAAGGAAAATGGAATGACGTCGATTGTAACCGCGCCTATGGATACATTTGCCAATTTAGAGCACACAGATGTGAGTTTTAACAAACAAGCCGCTCTATTAAGCGTTAAGGTTCTTTTCCACTCATCGCAAAAACAGCTCGCAGCGAGCATGCGAGTCCTCGCGAGCTCGCTGGTTAATTTCCACACTTCGTCATCTCGTGTGACTAATTTACGTTTTTGCAAAATGGCGGCCGCTTTAATTCGGCGCCTTTTGCTCTTACTTTATTTAAGACGATGTAGGAGAGGACGTCTCAAGTATGTAAAACGTTAAGATGATAAATAAATATGATAAATATGATAAATATAATGTTTAAATGATATTTTCGACGAATTCCATTGGCTACTGGTTTTCTTTGTTCGCGCGATCAGAAAATATTGTTGAAATTATTTAACTTCGCTGCGAGTGTTTGCAAGCTCGCTGCGAGCTGTTTTTGCGATGAGTGGAAAAGAGCCTTTAAGGCCCATAGAGACCGGACACGATTTGGCAACGCGACGAGAATTTCCAATGTTCAATGACATTTAACTTTAATATTTTTCAGTGTTTTTCAAATATTCGGGACCACTTAAGCAATTTTAGCTATTCGGTCTAAATCCCGTTGACGGTTTTATTTGATTTTGAAAACTGAACATTCGCGTCGCGTTGCCGAACGCGTCCGGTCTGTGTGGGCCTTTATAGTCGCTGGGACTATTGCGATGAAAATTGAAAGCTCTGCGTTTTACACACGGAGCTGTCAATTTTGTGTGAGATGCCCGCTGGAAAGTTAAAATTTTCGGGACTTAGAGTCGAGTTTCCATTGACAGTATTGTCTACTGAGTTATTTTTGAAAAGCATTATAGTATAATACAGTCGCTCGAGGTCAACGTACTTTTTATTTTCATATTGATTTCAAATACCTCAATATTAAACAAATTTTCTTACTATGTTGTCGTGTCTGAATAATGATATATATTTTTTTAAAGGTGATTAAAGCAGCAAAATTGAAATAAAGTCATGAAACATAGCTACTGTAGTAGTAGTAGTATGGTATAACTTGTAGGCTATATGCTGTAGTAATTCAGATATTGTGCAGAAAAGATGTCATTTTTTGTAAAAATACCTGATTAAATGTTTAGTTTGACAACTGTTCTGAGCAGTGTTGTAGTCCTGAAACGCTAACAAGGGGGCTTGAAACAGGAGGGAGAGGGCATGCAGGGCCAGGTTTTCTCTCTTTATATTTTTAAAACGGCTGCATGAATCCGAGCATGCTTTCATGTCCTTCTGCATTACAGCAAAAGGAAAATTCAATTAAGCCGGTATAAATGCAAGACGTTCTCATGCAGCTTGTTTGTATCCTCTGTATATATATAAGAATTCTAATGTAGCACTAGTGTAAGATAAAGGTCCATGAAAAAGCATGAAATTCCATCAGATATATTTACATACAAACTTAGAGGATCACGCCCATGCAGTTCTGTATCTCGGTCAGTGAACTCTAATAAGACTGGAACGATAACTCAGGTAAACATGCCCATACTTGCCTGAAGCCAACCGTGCAAGGAAATTGCACTTTTAAAAGGACTAAGGAGAGTTTCGAGGAGTGGGAATTTCAGTCAAAGTTTTATATTTTTGACGAAAATGAGCAAGAAAAGTCGTTTTTCATCAAAAGACTTCAATTTTAAAAACCCAAATACGATTTACTTGATAGTTAGAACTGCTTTGCATCCTACAACAGCAAAAGTTTGAAGGGTATCAGGTTTGTTTTCATAAAAACGACACTATAGTTGAACGTGCCGAACTGAACTTTGCTCTTTAACTAAAAAAAACAACTTTAAAACGTAAGTCTACGGACCAATACCTTCCTTGTATTAACGTCTAGGTATAGTTGTTTATTTTGAGTGCTTTTTGACTTCTCTAAAACGTGAATAAATCGATTTTTCTGTAGAATTCCGCCGTGATTTGCGATTTGTGATTTGGCGCCCGGGAGAAGTTCGCGCGCTGTGACTTTCAAAAAAGAACTGGGGGGAGTTCAATATCCTCGTCATTTTGGGTTTTTTTTAGCAAAAATACGCCGAAAAATTAGGTTTTTCGTCCGAAGATTTCAATTTCAAAGAATCAAACTTGGTTTTCTGGATAGTTCTAAGTATTCAACATCCACTAACGGCAAAATCTCGAAAGGTACCATTTTTGTATTCAAGAAATTGACAAAATATTTTCCGTGCCGAACAAAATACGACTTTCAAGTACACAAACAATAACGTCAAGTCTTTTGTACGGCTTCCAAATATGATTTGTGCAATAGTCCAAGTATTGTAGATGTTTTTAAGTTTTTTTTTATCTATGTTCTAGCATAGCTAGAAAGGCAGAAATCCGAGTTTTTCGAAGAGGTGTATTTTCGCCGCCGTACCTCCAATGGCGGCCTTCAACTGATCTCGGCACAACTGGTGCTGTACAAAAATCACAAAAAGTTGAAAGCCGGCAGTAAAGGATTGTATGTCACTTCAACAGTTATGACATTTTGTGAATAGCATTATTTGATCCAGAAGGACATTAATTTATTAAAGAAAAATTTTTTTGAAATACACAAATAAATATTTTGCAATACAGATATTGTGTCAACTATAAAAGTATAAATATATAGCAGATCTTGCAACGTTTGAAGTAGTAACAGTATTGAATAAAAATTTTAAATTCTTTTCATAAGATTTTAGAAATAAAAATTAGTGTAAAGACCACTATAGTAGATAACCCCCCCCCCCCGCACATCCAGCGTTCAAAGGGATGCCGCCAACGACGTCATATCATCAATGACATCACCGGAAATACCCGCATAAATTATCAAGTATGCACGTTCAGCTATTCCAGCATAAATTATTATAAGTATGAACACTCAACTATTCCCGCGTAAATTATAAAGTATGAACGTTCAGCTATTCCCGCGTAAATTATGAAGTATGAACGTTCAACTGTGTGTATCCGGTTTGTAAGCATTAATTTATTGCACATGTGTTCTAAATGTATTTAATATACATCATGCAATTGCACATTTCGTGCTCACTTGTTCATAATGGAGGTGAAAGCAGAAAAGGATGCCTTATGTATGCGTGAATATAGGAGACGAAAGCAAAAAGATAAAGCTATCCTTGAAGACTTCATGGCATTTGTCGCAGAGCGGGATCTGGAGCTGTTTCTGGAGTCTCAGGCAAAACGCACCAAGGAATCGAGTGAGCAAGACCGTCAAGAAGAAGAATTATTAGCCGCACAATATGTGTTGGATTTTGATACGTCTCTTTTAGAGTAAGGGAGACGTACAAGATACACAAAAACGGCTCTTTTAAGAGCCACCAAATATACTAAAAGAATTAAATGAAACGCTCGATTTCACTTTTCAGCAAATTTATATATAATAATATATGAATTAAAGTTAATGAGACAACACGTTTGTCACCTTCAAACCTGGTTATAATCTCATAGTAACAGGATAAGCTTGTCAACAGCCACAAAAAGGCGATATCCAATAGTCCAAAGTTCAAATGTTTCTCTGGGCATGTGTAAAACCGAATGAAAGATCAACTGACCAATCATATGTTAACAACGAACACGCAGAACAAAGGTCAATGTGATAAGGGAGTTCACTTTGACAAATATCCCAACAAAGAGCAATGTCTTGTTACCGAGAAAGAGAATTTGAAAATTTGACTTGGTGCGGAGCTGTAAAGAATTACGGACATCGAATGAACTGAGACAATGTGACAGAAAAGAGTTTATGAACGCTGGAATTGACATATCATGGTTATATTAAAGAAAATTTGGTCAGTAACTCAGTATGATAATTCAGTGAGACGCAGTTTATTCAAATAGAACTCTACCGGACAAGCGCTTTTATTCTTCTGGTGGACAAAGGAATACGTTGGCCCAAGTCCCGACGAAGTTATTACCATTAAATGAAACCACCGCTGGGGGAATAACAACAAGATCGATAGGCTAAAGCCGCTAAACACGAAATCAACAAGCGTTCAATTGATATCATTCCATGTCTCAATGCACATGCTTCCTAAAGTGAAGCGGTATTCGGCGCGTAAGTATGCGGTGCATTGACACGTTTGTTTCGTATTCCGCATCTCAAACCAACCAAAATGTATTAAATTCGTCTATTTTATAACAACATTCTGGTGTATTTATATTTGTTGATCAAAAATTCCAGTGACAATTTTAGGTTAGCCACAGATTACAGCAGGCTTCAGATTACGCCTCAGATTTGGCGTTGGATTGGGTTTCAATCAGGCCTTACATTAAGCTGTATTCAATTGCTCAAAAGTAGAATTATAAAACTTCTTTTTCAGCTATTTCACAAAATTAATTTGACCTGCATACATTTTCAATACTTTACTGACTGTTCAAAACTTAAGAAAGCAAGTTCAATTGTAAACGAAATTTGAGACTTAAAACTCTGCACATGATATATGTTTATGCACATTTGCGATAAATCGGCAAGATGGATATCAGGAAAGATTGGTACGATACCATGTATGCCTACGCTTTTGAAAATTGAAAATCCTTTGATGTTCTATTATTTACTGCCTATAATCTATTTTGACTACCACATACATATTTTTACAATTTCTTTCTGCTAATATCATGCATGCATGATCGGATGTTCGATCGCAAAATTTTGGTCTTGCTATTTTGAATTAAAGTAATGAATAAGCTATTTTTCTGAGAGTAATGTCACATAATTCGAGAAAGTTCCACTGATCATAATTGAAATAAAATAAGTGCGGTTAACAAATAAATGTGTGCAAAACGTATTTATGAACACATTAAAAAAAATAATAAATAAATAAATAAATAAAATGTGCCTCGATAGTGAGCTTTGTTTGTCGTGTTACCAACCCTCCAATCAAAAAATTGTAAGATAGAAGCTTTGTGGGGAAGCTGCTGGTTGTCTTGGACCCATCCAGGTTTCCTGTATATTCCAGGTTTTTTCTGGCCTCCCTGACTATCCAGCTATAGTATGAGTGATGGTAACGCCCCAATATATGTCTAACTAACATCTGGCAGCAGCTGTCTTATATACGAATACAGCTGTGGTGGGAGTTCGTCTATGGGGAATACACATGCTGTGTATTTGTGGGGTTGAAGTGTTCCCAATGGTCAACTTCAGGCCCATAGACTCAGGTTATTTATGTAAATATAATCAGTCGAATCGTAGGTACTGTCCAAGGGGATTATCACCCCTTGGTTCAGGTCTATGTCAGGGGGGGTCGCTACCCTTCGGGCAGAGCTCCTATGGAGCATTCAGTCTCTCCTAGCAGGTCTTATATATACGCCTGCGGGATGAAAACATAAGGCTTAATGAGTCTTTGGGTTGACCAGAGTTTGAGAGTATAATGTATATAATTGGTTCACTTCACCCTGAACCCATTCTCCCACAATGATTTGGTGTGTGTTTTACTTATTTTCGGGCTGTTCTTTAACCTAACGTGCTTAAATTATTAAAGCAAATTTATATATAATAATATGTAAATTAAAGTTAATGAGACAACACGTTTGTCACCTTCAAACCTGGTTATAATCTCATAGTAACAGGATTAGCTTGTCAACAGCCACAAAAAGGCGATATCTAATAGTCCAAAGTTCAAATGTTTCTCTGGGCATGTGTAAAACCGAATGAAAGATCAACTGACCAATCATATGTTAACAACGAACACGCAGAACAAAGGTCAATGTGATAAGGGAGTTCACTTTGACAAATATCCCAACAAAGAGCAATGTCTTGTTACCGAGAAAGAAAATTTCCACCCACCCACCCGTTCATGTTCCTGGTATCTGGCGCATTGTATGAGTACTAACTAATGCTATGCAAGGACTGTTCAAGAACAATTTCTCAAGAAAGACTATCGAACAATTTTCTCATGGAAAATTATCGCTATGTAAATACTTAAATGTTCAAACAAATAAATTTTGGTTCGGGGTTGAAGTGTTCCCAATGGTCAACTTCAGGCCCATAGATTCAGGTTATTTATGTAAATATAATCAGTCGAATCGTAGGTACTGTCCAAGGGGATTATCACCCCTTGGTTCAGGTCTATGTCAGAGGGGGTCGCTACCCTTCGGGCAGAGCTCCTATGGAGCATTCAGTCTCTCCTAGCAGGTCTTATATATACGCCTGCGGGATGAAAACATAAGGCTTAATGAGCCTTTGGGTTGACCAGAGTTTGAGAGTATAATGTATATAATTGGTTCACTTCACCCTGAACCCATTCTCCCACAATGATTTGGTGTGTGTTTTACTTATTTTCGGGCTGTTCTTTCACCTAACGTGCTTGAATTATTAAATATATTTATAGTATGCACCGATCAAGTTTCGTTAAGAGTCAATACCCCTAAAATGTGCACAAATCAAACGTATGTAGTGTACACTTTTCTGAAAATCAATACTCCCCACTCGATGAACACACACTCGATTTATCCTTTTCATAGTATGCATTAGATCAAGACCAGTTTACACTGTAGGGGATTTGCTGGTCACGACATCAGTTTTAACAGTCAATGAAATAGCTTAAACATTTATAATAATAGTAATAAGTAAAAAAGACACGAATGTTATCGATAGAGTAAACGTTTGTTGTTAGACGTTGCTC